ACACCTTTAGAAGATTGAATTCAAACTATACAACATCAAGCAGGAAGTAGCTACCTTGAAAAAGTCTTGGGACGTGGACTTGATGGGATTCTTCACCATTATTGAAATATAGTAGTAGAGAATTCAAATTATTTTTCTTAAACGTTTTCAACCTACCCATGGAATATGGGACCCATCCATCTGTATGGAAAACATTTCCTAACAACTTTGGATAAAAAAGGGATGACGTAATGATATTTCTAACTAAAGGCCGATTAATTTAACATCCGTGATCTCAAGAGCTAGTGGAAAAAATCACCCACTTTTGTCAACAGAACGCGATTGGTTCAATAAAAACAATTATTGTTATAACCAATTGTACCAGTGACTGTTTTACTCTGCTCGTTTGTTTAACTGTGCTAATGAGAGCCATTATACTTACTTACTCTCCCGTTGACTTTGAACTTGTACGAATTCGGTTACGCTCAGTAACCACGCTTGTACTCCTTTGGCACGATCTCGGTATTCTTTCGATACCACGAGATCGCCAACAAATACATCTCGACTACAGCCATCATCTGTCTTCTGATATTGGCCTACGGGGATCTTATTGGTTAATTGGCACGTAGTCAAGCTCAACTCGACACCACGCTACAAGTCCATCCCAACACGGGTTTATGACTAGACGCTCATGTTTCACATCACTACTGGAAATCTTTGGTCAAATTACTCAGAAAAGAGATGTTGGTCAGTCAGTGATAATTCTTTACTTCGATTTTAGTAAGGCTTTCGACAGTGTCTCACACAAACTTCTAAAACTCTCTTCATTTGGCATACAGAATCCCCTTTTAGAAGAACGTAGCCAAATCATTCGCTTTGGATCTTGCTACTCTCAACCTGTGAATGTAACCGGTGGGGTTATACAAGGAAGTGATAAATCTTTCCTTTTTGCCGATGACCTAAAAATAGTTTATTCATTCTCTTCTCCCACCAAAGAAAGCTGTATTTCAACGGTAATCCAAGAAGAAATAAACCAGTTATACGGATGGACTGTTTCGTGGAATTTGCCACTTAATGTTGACAAAAGTGGATTTATTCACATTGGTCGCTGCCTTAACCTAAATCTGGCTATACACAAATATGTACTGAAACCTCTCAACACTGTTCATGACTTGGGTTTAAAATATAGCAACAGTCTGAACTTTTCTGAGCACATTACATCTCAAGTATCCAAAGCTAGAAAGCTCATCGGATTCATATTGATAAACTTCAATAATATCGAGTCGAGGTTGTTATTATACAGAAAATGTATCTTGCCCATTTTTGAATATGGTATTTTAGTTTATAGCAATTGCAGACATGATGACCTGATTAAAATTGAAGGTGTTCAACGAAGGTTCACCAAAGCTGTTCTGGGGTATTCCGACAACAACGACTATAACCAAAGATGTCAACAACTCAAATTAGAACCTCTCTGGATCAGACGTATCAAATTAAAACTTGTCTTTATTTACCGGCTTATTAACGGTATTTCCTACTCTTCCGTATCCACCCCTTCATGCTCTATGATATCATCCCACAATCTACTCAATAAGGAAAATATTCTAGCGATTCCAAGAACCCACACAAACGTACGCCAGAATTTCTTCGTTATTCGCCACTCAACCATGTGGAACAGACTGCCAGTGAAGCTCTGTTGCAACCCTGTTCTGAAGTCTCCTTGATGATTTTCTTTCCGAAATTGGATTGTGTCACCTATTGAGTATCAATGTATTTAATAATGACTTATACAAACAAGGTCCGTCATTTATCTAATTGACTGAAAAGCAAGATGCAATCCCTGAAATTTTTAAAGTCTATTTTATTGTATTTTATTTTTGTTCATCTTAATATATGAAATCTGCTTATGTTCGTATCTAAAAGTATTAATGTTATTAATATCATTACTGGTCATTCGACATATAAGATATTCTTTTCATCTCTTCTTATCTTTCCGAACGTATATTATTCCTAAATATTCAAAGTCTGTAACTAAAATCAAACTATCCTATGTTACACCTAGACAAATTAAATTCTCAGATTCATTTTATCTTCCCTACATGTATATAGCACATAGAATTTTATGTTTGATTATCTTTTGCAATTAATCGTGACTTTCATAACATCATTCTTAATTACAATTGCACAAATGTTTATATTAATATCCGATTTCACTCTATATACTATTGCATAAATCTACATGTATTTATTTGAGTGCACTAAAGGGTTTTTTATTTTATTTTTCTAAACTGTTGGTTTACTTTAGAGGTCACTATTCATTACACAATTATTATTATTATCATGATTTAACCCTTTCACTAAGTGTTCTTTTAAATAAATATTATTCTTGAGATTTCGAAGTTTGTAATTAAGACAATAACTTGCGTCACACTTAAATTAACTTCTCAGACTCGTTTTATCTTCACTATGCATGTATCTTTCAGACATATTGATATCTCGTTATCCTTTTCACTTAATTGAGACTTTAATAGCATCACTCCAAACTATGACTACACAAACATTTATTCTAGCGTCATATCTTATTGCAATAACAAGTTTTTTCCTTAATGATTTTCTATTTTACTTTTGTTACTAATTTGACGATACATACATAGTCGTTCATCTTGTTCTGTATTTATAAACACGCTTATGAAACTACTCGCATATCTCATGTCTCCATTATTTCTATTCCCTTATTTTCTTCCTTTCCTTTTTTAAAGTCAACACAATATTCTTTTCAGTTACACATAACCTGATTTATTATTCGCTTTTCAAATATAGTGCTGACATAATTGAAACATGTGTGTTATAGCATTTTTGAAGAGATCCGAATAATTATTATCAGGAAGGGTGAGATATTAACTCACTGAAGACAATGGTGGATGAGTCGCTCACTTCCTTGGATTAGTTGGATACCGGCTGAGTGGTCTAGTTGGTTAAGCGCCTGACGCGAGATTGATAGGTCTTGGGTTCGAATCTAGCGGCGGGTGAGATCGTGGGTACGCAATGCCGAGGAGTTCCATATTAGGACGAAACGGCCGTCCAGTGCTTCCAGGTTATCCGTGGCGGTCTAGCTTCAAATGACTCATGATTTCAACCAATGGAATTCGTTTTTGTCTAACCTTAGTATTTTGGGAGTCAGTCTGTGGTCCTGCTGTTGGTTACAGTTGGGGTGCTTGTCAAGTATCCATGGATAGTATGGGTTGTTCGTTTGCTTAATAGTGACTAGGGGTAATATACAAACAGATTAAGAAGTTACGCACATAGGTAGTTTAGTATTGATGTCTACTAGCCTCAGTTTGCAAGTAATGATGAATAGATTATGGTGCTGTAGAAGGTCTTTACCAATGATTGACACAGAAACACTTTTAACAACGAGAATACAGTGGATAGGTTTGCAACTGGAAAATGAAAGTACGCAAACAGATAAATTAGTTTTTCGCTTATTAGCCTCCGTTTGGGTGTTCCAGCAGGTCCATACCAATGATTTGTACAGAAACATCCGCAACGAAAAATCCAGTGAATGCGTTTTCATAAACCCACGTAAAGGCAAACGTACCTTTTACCATATGTGGCGATTGGATTTCTGTGTGCCGCCTGAAGGTTTAAAACCGATTCCTGAAGCCGATTGTTTGAATTTACTGAAAAAACGCTAACTTCTGTGCCAGTATCGACGAGGTAGCGAACTTTCGTTGTCACATCTGTGACGTATAACTGATCGCTTAAGTGTGGTGCTTTTTCGCGGAGTATGTGACCGTTTGCAGTCATTAAGAAATTTAAGAAAACGTGTATGACATAATTCCGTAACGTAATTCTGTGTCTTTTGAAGCTTTATGACTGAAAAATCCTCGACGTTAGAAGATTTGGTGATTTCTAAGATGCGGTCGGCAGATGCAGCCATTTTGTGTACGGCGTTGTTTTGTAACAAGACCAGCACAGTTTGCACCTGTTGAGGAAGTTTGGACAAGAAAAGTTGTTTGAAAAGGCCATCATGAAGGTTTTTTGGCCAATAACTTTTCTCATTCTTTGCAACATGTCTGTGGCAGAACCGTGTTGCAAGTCGATGTTGTTGAGGAGTTGGTCTAACCTTTGTCGATCGGTTACATCTCCGCGTTTAAGGGTTTCGTATGGTTCGGAAACATCACTAGTAAACATACTAGGTGTTACGTACCTGTTGAATTCGCTCGGTAGTGCCTTGACTACTGTGAGGAATTATGTGCGTGTATCGTTCACGCCGTGCTCGTAGAAGCTGGCCTCTGTGGAGCAGAACCAAGTTTCGATGTTCTCTGGCCTGAATGGCATTAATTTAAACGAATTCGGGGACACAGACATTAGCTTAAGTATCAGCCTAAGTGTCACTTCCGTCATAGTGAAAGCCCAAGTACAAGAATAGACGGGAAAAATATGCGTACAAAAACACAGAAAAAATGCCACAATGTATAAAAATTAAAATAAAGCAATGATACATGAAATCCTATACAGTAACAAACTCACAGTTTACAATTTGGTGTACCAGATCACGTTGGGCTCACCAAAGATACCAGAGGTATTTGTAGTTTGACAACGCTTTAAACAGTAACACCTTCTACTATGAATTGCATCACCGAATGAAATCAAAAGACAGGATCGAGGAGGTTCGAAGATTTATTTAATAGGTTATCAATATATCGAGGATCAACTGATACAATCAGGCTAGCGGTTGAGGGGGATGTTGAGCATGGCATTCCTACTCGTGATCTGGTGTGGATGTATGACCGAACTCCTTCAGCTAGGTGAGTCCATCAAAATTAATGTGGTCAGCATCCAGTGTTGAAGACTATTTATTTTGGGGATTTATTTACCGACACAACTTCATCGTACGGCTAAAGCCTGGTCTTTGTACTCAAAAATAATATAAAGGAATTGCGGCATTTCAATAAATAATATAAATACAAGTCGTTGAGCATCCCATTCATCCAAATTCAAATAAATTTGATGATCAACTTTATTGAATAATATCGGCGGCTGGTTCGGATTTTGTGTTCCCAAATGGTTAGGGGATTGCCTGCAAAGGTCGTTGTGAGAGGCCTGCCTCCTAAATTAAGGTCCGATGATTTCATCAGAATTGTCGACCCGCTACCCTCCCACACCTACTTCAGGTTTTGCAGTGCAGACGACTCATTGGGTGGTCTAGGGCTGACGCGGGTTTACATTACATTCAACGACATAGATTCTCTATTTGATTTCAAAGAAAGGTTTGATGGCTACATTTTTTTGGATTGCGAGGTAGTCCCAGTTTTTAAGTTACTCGTTCAGGGAAATGAGTCCCCCGCTCTTGTAGAGTTTGCTGTTTGCCAGGCATTGGCGAGTGCTAAAGGGTCTTCAGACGATAATAAGGGAGGAAAAGTGGATAAAAAACAGGGTTCCTTGTTGAAAGACCCAGCGTATGTAAAGTTTATAGACTCGCAATCTGCTGAAGTTTGTACCGAAATGTCGGAATCAGAGTCTAAAAAAACTCCCTGGGAATCCATTTTAGATGATCTCCAAAACAAGGAAGCGAATGCTCTCCAGGTTGGTTCAATAATGCAATATTTATTTTCTTCCCTTATTATTAAGCTTGTAATCTTGACCATTCATACGTATATATTGTAAATAGGGATAGAATTCTTAAAGTATGGTGCAAACATTTTGCAGATAGTCTTCAGTAATAAAGATAGTAGGTTGGTGAACCTGTGTTAATCCTGACAGATTGTCTTCCAGTGAAGGTCCAGTTTCTCCTTGAAAATATTCATTGATGGGGCCGATACCACTTGTTCGGGTAAGGCTTTCCAGTCATTGACTACTCGATGAGAAAAACGGGACCTCACTTTAAGTTTATTAGATCGCAGTTTGTGGACCTTCTTGCGCAAGAAGGTCATTGCGCTATAACCTCAGAGATTATTAGTGCTGGATGGAGCAAAATGATAAGACATTAACACTCAAATCATAATTAAAGATACGAAATGCCAGTATAAGGCCACCTCGCGTCCTACTTTACGACAAGGGGAAAAGGTTTAGGCGTTTTAAATGCTCATCGTAAGGGAGTTTAAAAGACCCTTCACTAATTTCGTTCCCACACGCTGGACACGCTCAAGTGAGGTAATATTCTTTATCAAACATGGGCTAGCTGCTTGGATACAGTACTCTAAATATGGTGTTAAATAGGTGGGATATAAAATTCGAAGCATTTCCTCGTCAAAGCATTTGAGCGCTCGGTGAAGTGACCATAACGCACTAAAACCTTTGACAACGGCTGAGTTGCAATGCGTAGTTGTTTTTAAGTCATGACTTATTATTACTCCTAAGTCTTTATGTTCTTGAACGCATGGAAGAGGTTTACCATCAATAGTATAATGGTAACTATTACCGTAACCGATGTGCATTAGCACACTCTTCCAAGAATTGATTTCTAATCTAAGCCCCAACCTCTAGCCCATCCAACTAAGTCGTCTAAGTCAGCTTGGAGATCCAAATGATCAGCCTCACTTTTTATTGTTCTCCAGATTTTCACGTCATCCGCAAACAATAATGTTGACGACCTAAGCAACAGAGGTAAATTGTTAACGTAGAGAAGGAAGAGCAGAGGGCCTAAGATGGTGCCTTGGGGTACACCACTTTTGACCGGCTTCCAATCGGATGGCGTTCCATTGACCCTCACTCTCTGTCTGCGGTCACATAAGAAGTTTCCTATCCACTCCTGTACAGTACCTATTATTCCGAAGCTCGTGAACTTCTGCATAAGACCTAAGTGTGAAACCTTGTCAAATGCTTTGCTAAAATATATGAATATCACGTCGACAGACAGACATTTATCTAAGGCTGCTGTCCGATCCTCTATCGCAATAAGTAAGTTAGTCAAGCATCTAATAAACTTAAAGTGGGGTTCCGTTTCTCTCATCGAGTAGTCAATGATTGGAACGCCTTGCCCGAACAAGTGGTATCAGCCCTGTCAGTGAATATTTTCAAGGAGAAACTGGACCTTCACTGGAAGGCAATCTGTTAGGATTAACACAGGTTCACCGACCTACTATCCTTATGACTGAAGACATGAACGCCTGTTACGAAATCCATGCTGCTCAAGAGTTAACAGATTGTGTGAGTCTATGTGACTTAGCAACCTAACCCGAATTATCTTTTCAAGTAACTTAACGACAATGCTAGTTAGACTAACAGGCCGGTAGTTAGATACGATCTGTCTCTGACCATATACATATACATATATGTATCCGCCAAAGTCCCTACCCTACGATAAAGTGCATCTATCGAGAATTAGCAAACGTACAGAAAAGAATATGAGAAATAATGGAAAGCTAAACATGAGTATGGTTGGTTAAAGCGAAAGAAACGATGAATAACGACTACGCTGCAATACAACTCAATATGCACTGGAAGACGAATAACGAATGTAACTGCTCCACTGTGACCGACTTAAGGCTGTTTTAGATAGCGTTTGAGTCTATGAATTGTGATGATACTTTGGATTTCGATCTGCAATTCTATTCTCCTTACATCGCTCACACCAATAATCTAAGATTGATGTTAAGACTCAGTTTGGGCGCCACTAATATCCTCCTAAGTTACTCCAATGTCAGCTAGCAAAACAGACCAGAGATAACAGAGGCCAGGCCTGCACAACATATGTCTGAACAACCTCGACAGATGAAAGTCTATAATCGCATTAGTCGACATTTTACCTGAACCGAACGCCTACCCTGAGCACTAACATGGGTTATTTCCAAACACGTAGAATGCTTCTAAAACACACGATCAGACATTTGCAACCTACGCAGATAATCTAATTCACAGATTCTCCCGGAGCTATAGAAGTGTCGTGAAATAAGCAGGGAGATAATATGCGTATCACAAGATGGTGCAAGGAAACCCCATTAGGATCCTGCTGAATGATAGTCAAGCTAAGAGTATATTTGAGGAACAACTAGGAAAGCAGTTAGGCAGCCATTTATATGATGCCCACCTCGAGGCAGCGTGGAATGACATCCGAAAAGCTGTAGAAACAGCAGTGATGTCTTCAAATACGGTAAACCACAAGGTTAGAGAGAAACACTGGATCTCAGCAGCATCTACCGCACTGATATATGCTCGAAAACTCATTCCATCTGGCTCTGAACAGAACGAAGAACAGAGTCAGCTTAAGCGCAAGCTGACAAAAAGCCTACGCAATTATCATGAACAGTGGTGGGTAAAAAAAGCAAGAGAGATGGAAAAGGCAGCGGCAGTAGGTAACAGCAGACAACTCTTCACACTTGTTAAGGAAACCAGTATTAGGAACCCAACTGTTAGCAAAACTATCTCAGAAAAAGATAAATATATTATTCATTCTCAATCCAGGAGATTGGATCGATGGGCAGAACACTTTAGGGATCGGTTCAACTAGCCTTCAGCCACACTTCGGTTTCCCACGATCTCCAGTCTACCTGAATGGTAAGGTAATGTAAGTCCTCCGACTCTTTACGAAGTTGAGAAAACTATAGGAAGTCTGAAGCTTGGTAGAGTAGCAGGCCCTAACAGGTTTACTCCTGAGATTTCTTAAGGGTGGTTGTCCAGTATTAGCAGCGAGATTGACCGAGGTCTTAGGTAGAATCTGGGAACTGGACGTAATCCCATCTGACTGGTCTCAATCACTGATTATGCCAATCTATAAGAAAGGACAAAAATCCTCCTGTGACAATCACAGAGGAACTAGTTTGACTAATATAGTGTCTAAAATATTAGCTTCAATATTACTTCGACGCCTAACTAAAGCTCGTGAAGAGCAGACTATAGAAAACCAGGCTGGTTTTCGACCTGGACGTGGTTGTATAGACCAGATATTCACACTACGTTAGGTCCTAGAACATAGACACACATTCAGACGCCCCACAATGGTAGTATTTCTCGACCTTGAGGCGGCATTCGACTCTGTTGATCGTGAGGTTCTGTGGCAGTGTTTGTCACTGAAAGGAGTACCAAAGAAGTACATCAACCTTATAAAGGCTCTCTACTCGAACACAACTGGTCGAGTGAGAGCTTATGGCGAACTGTCATCAGAATTGATTATCTCGAGTGGTATTCGTCAGGGCTGTCCACCCCCTCCATTCCTATTTAACTTTGTCGTTGACGTGCTTTTAGAGATGACAGTTTCCTCATTTAAATTTTCAGGGAGATTCACTTGTTGACTTAGAATATGCCGATGACATAGTTCTATTTGATGAAGACGATGACAAAATTCAGAGTCTGCTGACCACTCTAAGCAACACTGCAAGCATGTTCGGCATGCGATTTTCTCCCTCGAAATGCAAAATGTTGCTTCAGGATTGGGCTGCATCGGCACCCGAACTAGTGATAGGGAGTGAAGTAGTTGAGCGCGTCGACCGCTTTTTTTTATCTGGGAAGTCTCATCAGCCCTTGTGGTCTGGTGTGTGACGAAATCTCAGCACGGATACAGAAGGCTCGACTAGCTTTTTCCAACTTGCGTCGTTTGTGGCGTAGGCGAGATATCCGTCTTTTATTTATTTTAACACATAAGTATAGGTACAGGGAGGCACCAAATACATATGCGCCACACGAATCTCATTTGATTTGTGTGAGGGCTGTGATACTGCCCGGGTGCCCGAACCGAAGCAGGTAGATATCCGTCTAGTAACCAAAGGACGAGTTTACTGCGCAGCAGTTCGTTCCGTCCTACTTTATAGTAGTGAAACATGGCCGGTAAGAGTAGAGGATATTCGTAGGTTACTAGTATTTGATCATAGATGTCTTCGAAACATTGCTCGTATATCCTGGGACCACCGATTAAGTAATGCAGTTGTTAGGAAACGGGTACTAGGTAAGGATGGCAAATCACTTGATGAAGTAGTGAAACTTAATCAGTTGAGATGGCTGGGACATGTGTTGCGCATGCCAGACCACCGACTGCCTCGACGTTCGATGTTTTATGGTGTAGGAGTAGGTTGAAAGAAAGCTAGGGGCGGCCAGACCAAAACATGGCACAGATCAATGAAGTCACTGACAAGTTGACTGAGCCATGTCGGTAGATGTAGACTACCTGGTTGGGGTCGGCGAGATGATAGCAACCGATGGTTAGAGACCTTGAATGACATGGCTCAAAATCGTTTGCAATGACACCTTGCATTAAATTGACCGTGTTAAACGTGGAAAATCGTAAGATGACTACAGTGTATTCTGGGATTACATACTACAAAAGTTATGAGAGGTTAATGGAACTGTGATTAGTTTGTCCATTTCTGATCGACACGAGTAACACCTGATAGTGACGCATAACGTTTCCTCCCTTGAAAAGTTCTCATCACCTGGTTATAAACCAGTTGTTTCCTCTTGGCAGTCCATTCATGTTTCGTGCCTACATATTTCAAAAGTTCGCATTGGAGTAATTTTGAGGATCGTGAAATGTAAGCTCGAGTAAAGGTAGTCTTTCAAGGGTTTTCCAAAGGCTTTGTCGTCGTAGTGTAAGATTTCGATAGTTATACCTGGTCCTTAAATTCTATGGGTAAGCTAGTCTTCTATACAGCGTTACAAAAGTTTCTCGATTTTCATTAGCTACTGTGTTGGGTCACTCCTGAGCTAGTGTTTAAAGCGTTGGTTCTCAACCACTGACTTGAAAGCTCAAACATTCCCATATACCTGGGTCTTGGTAGCCAGATAAAATTTCTAGCCCTTGCACAAAATCTGGGCATTTATGATAACTGATATAGTCGGTAACGGTGTTGTTTCCCAAATGTAAGTGTTTCAAAGCCAAAAGTAACATAGCTGGGATGGACAAATAAATATATTATTAACTTGAAGCACATATGATAGGTTATTCGATCATTCAATAATCCTTCAGTTTAAATGTTAATTTTATTGAATGGAAGTAATATAAGTTGTCTTTGTCATTGCATATAGAATAAATCATATTGCTTCTGCCTGTCTATACTCTTTCCACATGTCACAATTTCTATTATCATCTGAATAACTCACTGAGTATATCGTACGGTGCTAGTTACTATTGTGTACAAGTGAATGTATAAAAGGGGACGATAACAAATACCTTCGGGACGCCACTAGTGGTGGTGTGTTTACGGTTGTAGAGAAAGATATGTGAGGCTTCTCTCCTTCGCTCAGCGTTTTATCTGTCTCTTAATTACATCGAATAACAAGTGTAAGTCATGAAACCAATTAAGTGCCTCAAAACACAACCCATTCTCCAATATTGACTATTTCGTCACTAAATATTTCTTTCTTGATATGTACCACGTAATTTGGCGTAGTTCATTTCGTCAGTTTCTAGCTATAAAAAGCTTATAACTTCCCACTTAAATTCCCATGAATAATTTTACCCTACATTTTTCTCCTTTCTGCCTAATGCTGATCATATAATCAGATTAAACGCCTGACTAATCCTCAAAATTATCACCTATTTGCTATTTCACTAGTTTGTGGAAGTTATTATTTTTACCTCGTGTAAGTAGTGTCGTTATCTTTCTGATTTTCTGTACTGTTTGTCTGCATATTTCTATCTTTATCCGTCCATCCAGCGACTTGTTTACCAAGTACGAGTTTATGTTCTTAGCTTTGATCTTTACCGTTTATTTAAGGGTTTCTACCCCGTTACCCAAACCTAGTAGTGTCAAACTTGTAACATGCTGGATTAAACCCGGATTTTTTAATCATCAAGATATCGTATATGTATATGTATTAAACCTCCGGTTGATTGTTTTGTAGACACAAACTGTCACACCACTTCTAACCTACCTAAATAACCGCGGTGGAGATATTAGACGTAAAGATGAAGAATCATCACGTCACAGGCAGTTTAGACAAGCTAATGCATCTGTCATCAAGAAAACGCCGAAAGTGGACAAATCTGTACGAAGTCATCCACCAGTTAGGCGACTTCATGACTTAAAGCGTATTTGTTCTGATCGCATTTGCGAGGTTTCAAACAAAGAAAACCCTCACCATAATAGCACGGAAGATTTGACGAGAGTTGATCTAAAAATGCAAAAGAATTCAGAAAAGTTGATCACACTGGATGCAAACGAATTTCCTGCTATGCAAAGTTCATGTGAGTTCTAGTATTACTTTTTAAAAAAAATTTTTATTTCAAAATCCATCTGATCACAACATCGAAGTGGTTGCAATGTTTATTAGTAAACAATCATTCCAAGTGATATTAAGTCCTTGTGATGGTTTTTGATGCTAAGAAGTTTGGTAATAATGCTTAACTAGTCACAACGCGAATGTCAGTACAGTTACACATTGAGAAAATTCACATAAAACGGAATAGACTTGTTAAGAAAAACATTGAGTGAGGAAATGGCACATGAGTTTATGAGAATAGTTTTTAACGAAATACAATTGAGTAGAAATGCAGCTAGAAAGACATTTTAGATTTAAAGAAGCTCATTAAACGTAATAAAAGGTTGTAATAGAAAACCACGACATCTCAATCAACTATTCTCAATCGTATCTAACAATGCCTCAAGTCTTACGTAATCCCCAGAGTCCCACTAGTGGAGTCGTAATGGTCCAACATATCCCAGTCTTACTCAACTATCTTACATCCTACTACACCGTGTGATGCACTAACTAGTTTCACTATCCAATCCCATCGTTGGCTATTAATGCGCCACATAGAAAGGAAGCCAAATAATAATAACATTAGGATGACAGTGAAAGACGCTTGAGCCGTCGTGATTACTGTTCAATGTAGTGAAACCAATCCGGTTTTCAGTACTACCCTCCAAGTATAATACGTTGTTTGGCATCTTGATTGCAAACATGGTGTTTCCACTGGATGTGAGAATTTAAATTGTGTCGATTTAATGACTCGAAAGACTAAAATCACCAAATATAAGGTCGAAAGTTGCAGTTGTGCTGCCGACTGTACTGATGTGTTGAAAATAGTCTTTTCTGTGAATAGTTAGCGTATGCCAGGTTTTGTCAATCATCGTCAGCTTACAGCCTGGCATAGATGTGAATAGGCCCAAGTTGACACGCCGCATTATCATGACAAATATGAATATAACATGGCTAATCACAAAAGAGATCTTAATAATGTATTACTGATGACAAAATACGAAACCATGGGAATATGATTTGAAAAGACAGTGGAAAAATATATATAGGTGAGTAATATGATTGAAGATTGAGAGAAAGATGAAGATAATGGGTCTGTACTATTTTTAAAGATTTTGAATCATGCCATCTGCATTCTTTAGCTACTGGCCGTAGTTATCGCGCAGACAGCAACATTAATATTTGCATTTATTGATGTGGCTCAAGTGAATAGCCAGTGGTCCCCAAATGCCCTGGTACAGCTGAGTGCGGGGAGAGTCCGCTCTCTCTCGAAATGATCTCACATGGCCGCGCGTATACAGCCACTAACAGGGAAGACCTACCCACTGCCTTCTCGAGGCAGGAGTGTTATTTACAAAATTGAGAGGACGAAAGGTGAATGTCCAATACCTTAACCGGGTTGGTGGACACGGAGGGTCCACCTAGGGGGGTTGAAAAACCCTGATCCCAAACCAGTCGTGTACATGGGCTCCAGCGTCCTGAGGGATTGAATGGTGTATAAAGCTATTGTTGGTCACCGGCTAATATGTGACTGCATCACATAGCGTTGCTCCGCCGTCTTGTGGATTGGACCTCTAGGTCAAGGGCTCGGGGAATGGCCTCTAGGAGAACCACCTGTTTCGGTTTGGGCACCTGTACAATATCCCAGCCTTCACTTAAATCGAATGGTGAAGTATAGTGCGTATATATTTGATGCCTTTTTGTACCGAAATTTATGTTTAAGTAATAATAATCGTGATAGAATGGTCAATGACTCCGTGAACTGTTAATATGTATTGGTTTGGCCTCCCTTAGCTTTCTTCCATCAGTCTCCAACATTAGTCAGCTTTGTGTGCCGTGAAAATCGGTGGTTGGGCATATGTAATACGTGACCCAGCCATCTCATTCGATGAAGATTTACAACCTCATCAACTGATTTACCATCAGTCCCTAATACCCTGAGTCTAACCTGACTATTACTTACCCAGTGATCCCAGTAGATGCTGGCAATATTACTAAAACATCTGTCATGAAATACTAGTAACTTACGAGTATCTTTTACCCTTAATGGCCACGTTTCGCAGCCGTAAAGTAAAACAACGAACTGCTCCTTAGTATGCTGGTCCCTTAATTGATAAACGGATATCTCGTCTTCGCCATAGGTGACGTAAGTTGGCGAAAGCCAAACAAGCTTTCTGAATCCGTGGAGAGATTTCGTCAGACACCAACCCATTGGGGCTGATCAGACTTCCAAGGTAAACGAAGCTGTCGATGTGTTCGACTACTTCACTCACTATCCTTAGTTCAGGTGTTGATGTAGGCCATTCCTAAAGAAACAACTTGCGTTTAGAGGGAGAGGAACGCATCGCAGACATGATAGCATTGTTGCTTGAGGCGGTTGAAAGACTGGATTTTATTCGCGTCTACACCAACTAGAACTATATCTTTTGGGTATTCTAAATGAACATAATACTCTTTTAGATCGATTACCGACAATTCAAACGAAAAGTGTTAACTTTGAAAAGCATTTGTGATAAAGCTAAGTAAGAATGGGGACAGTTGGCAACCATGACTAACACCACTTGAATGTATCGATTCCGATGACAGTTCCCTATAAGCTCTTGACCATTAGTTTCTGTGTAAAGAGGATCCATAAGATACATGTTTCAATCATATTAACTACCACGAAAACTTTCAATCTACGGAGTCGAGCGCTGCTTGAAAGCCAAGAAATACAACTATTATTGGTAGTTTATAGGTATCCCTGCTCAAAAACCTAGCATATTCTAAATATTTGGTCTACACATTAAAGTCGTGTTTTGAAACTAGTCTGGTTCTCCCAAGTTTACTCTTTACAAATCCCTAGTTAGGCGTTGGATGATTATTAAGGCTAATATTTTAGACACTACCAAGTTGATTCCTTTGTGGTAATCACAAGACCATTCCTGTCATTTCTTATAGACTGGAACGGTCAGAGATCAAGATCACCCAAATGGGATCTCGTCTACTTCTCAGACTCTAACGGAGGTCTCAGCAAATCTAACAGATAAAACTGTACTACGTCTCCCATAAAAATCTCCGAAATTAAGCCATCAGAGCCTTCAGCCTTCTCTCGCTTTAGACTAGCTATGACTTCTGCCTCATTAAGAGTCGAAGGGCATATGTTGGCGTCCCATTTAGATTGCTGAATAAAAGTAAGCAACTGAAGGGTAGATGGGTAACATTTGAATTTTTCTTCAGCATTTTCCTCATCAATCTCTTGGGCTAAAAGTGGGTCATTATCCCATCTTATTTAGAAATAATATCTTTACCTCGTGAATTCCTAATATCTGTTTATTTGATAAATTTGAAAGATTGACTACCGCTCCCACCTTTTCCATCTCTTGACTTAGCTCCCCACCACTGCCTACTATCATTGGGCAAATTTTTTATCAGTCTACATTTAGGTTGCCTTCGCTTCTTATCGTGTTTGGAACTCGATAGTATAAATTTCCTAGTATCTGTCGGTTCAGTAGATGCTGTTGGAATTCGTTGATTATTCTTAAACTTTTGGCTTAAGTTACTGGTAGATATCACTTCTGTCTGGATATCATGTCATTCCACATCACTTTGACGATTGAATAACTGGTTCTCCACTTGTTCCTGAAGTTTTTTGTTAACATATTTGTCGTTAAGTTGAGCTCTACGGGAGCTGCTTGACGTGGCTTTTCTGTATCCAGTAGTACGCAAACGCGTGCTCGTACTAATGAATGATTAGAATCTATACATACACACTAAGTGTGGAGGCTGTTGATAATACTCAGTTGCTCAAGTCGAAGTAGGCAGGGTCCGAACCCATAACTTTTTGGTTCAAAATCGAACGCCTTTACCACTGGGCTACATCCAGTGTCGCTCATTTTTCGAGTATCAGGAGACTCAGCTACTGGTATAAGTAGAGCATTAACTTTGAAAAGAGAACAAACATCCATGAAATGGATTCCAGTAACTGACCACTTTTTTTTCTGTTCATTTAAATGGAACAATGAAGACTTGTAGGCCGTTGCTTTTTGTATTTTTTGACTACGTTGCACTGACTGCAGTACGATTGAAGTAAAACAAGTTTTACAAAAAGCTTTCGGACCTCTTACCTCCCTAAACGTAAGGCGAGACATTGTGCAACCTAGCTATCCGCAACACCGAAACAGCAGCTGCTACAAATAAACTGTGTATTTATCACCCACCACTCAAGATCCTATGGAACTCCGATCGTTTTCTAGTTCTAGTACACATTTTCATAGGTTTTATTTGGTCCAATAAAGTCAGAAAAGAATTTTTAGAGTTCAGATTGAAAATCCAGCCGTAGCTTATCGCAAACTTTCATCTGAACTGGTTGAGTTAAGAGGTATTCATTAAGACCTCCCACTTTTACCTCAGACAGAAAGAGTTCGTCTAAAGTTTAAGGGGTTGATCTCTTAACATAAGATTCAGTTATCGGTAACATAGCTGACAAAACTAGTCTTTTGAGGGCCTAGAGTAACTGCAAGGATGTTTTAATTCAGGAAACTAACTTTTGTGATTAGTCAATATTTGTGGTGTAGGCGAGGTAACTGCAAGAGAAGGAAACATGAGACAATTGTATGACATAACAAAGAAACTCGCTGGAAATTATCGTAAACCAGAACTACCAGTGAAAAGCAAGGAACGCAAAGTAATCACCAACATTGAAGAACAGCGAAACAGGTGGGTAGAACACTTCAAATAACTCTTGAATCGATCAGCCTCACTGAACCCACCCAACATCGAAGCAGCACCCACGGACCTCCCAATTGATGTTGGCCCACCAACAGTTGAAGAGATCAGCATGGCCATCAGAAAAATCAAGAGCGGCAAAGCAGCAGGACCAGAAAACATTCCAGTAGAGGCACTGAAAGCAGATGTAGCATTAACTGCAATGATAGTCCACATTCTCTTCAGCAAGATTTGGGTCGAAAAACAAGTACCAACAGACTGGAAAGAAGGACACCTGATCAAGATACCAAAGAAAGGCGATCTCAACAAATTTTATACCTACAGAGGCATCACACTACTGTCAGCACCAAGCAAAGTTTTCAACGCAGTGTTGCTGAACCGAATGAAAGACTCAGTAGATGCCCAACAGGCTGGATTCCGTAAGGATCGATCATGTACAGACCAAATCGCAACTCTACGGATCATTGTGGAACAACCAATCGAATGGGATTCATTACTCTACACCAACTTCATTGACTATGAGAAAGCCATGGGCTACAGTGGACATCTAGGATGCAGCTGGACGATCTAGCTCTTCTATCGCACACGCAACAACAAATGCAGGAGAAGACAACCAATGTAGCAGCAGTAGGTCTCAACATACACAAAGGGAAAATCAGGATTCTCCGACACAACATAGCATGCACCAATCGAACCACAATTGACGGAGAAGATTTGGAAGATGTAAAAATTTTTACATATTTGGGCAGCATAATCGATGAACACGGTGGATCTGATGCAGATGTGAAGGCATGGATCGGCAAAGCAAGAGCAGCATATTTACAACTGAAGAATACCTGGAACTGAAAACATCTGTCAGCCAACACCAAAGTCAGAATTTTCAATACAAATGTGAAGACAGTTCTAATGTATGGGGCGGAAACCTGGAAAACCACGAAAGCCATCATCCAGAAGATAAAAGTGTTTATTAACAGTTTTTTACGCAGAATATTTCGGATCCGTTGGCCAGACACTATCAGCAGCAACCTACTATGAGAGAGACCAAACCAGTTCCCATCGGAGAAAGAAGCGCTGGAAGTAGACAGGACACACATTGAGGAAAGCACCCAACTGTGTCACAAGACAAGCCTTCACTTGGAATCCTCATGGACGGAGGAGAAGTGGAAGACCAAAGAACACATTACGCTGAGAAATAGAGACAGACATTAGAATAATGAACAAAAATAGGATCAAACTAGGAAGGAAGGCTCAGGACAGAGTGGGTTGGAGAATGCTGGTCGCCGACATATTCTCCATTGGGACTAACAGGCGTAAGTAAGTAAGGCGCCAACCGCACCAGGAGTATAATGTTTTGGAATGCACTTCATATTACCTCGATATTCAAAAATTGTGATTTTTTAGATTAGCGGTATTTATCACATGTTCCTTCAAAGCATTACTCAGATATGATAGAAAAACGGAGTAAACTATACTGAAGTCAGTTACAGGTTACTTGGTAAATATGACAGATCAGTTTACAATGTTGTTTATCTCACCGAATGGGCTGATGGGAACACGTGTTACATATCACTACCCACCAACCACCTCAGTCTTCAATATTATTTTAGATTGGAGTGGGCTAGAAGAAAACTAGGAAGATCGGACTGAAATGTGACTTTGGTCTCACAGGCTCAGATGCATTTATTTCTTACTTCCCCCTACGTCTCGAGTTTCAGTATTACTCCGAACTCTCTGTCTCCTAACGCCATTCCTTTCCAAAATATGTTTTGTACGTTTTGTTTTTCTGTTGCTCTGACTCCTTGGTTATTCATCTCGTTTATATTTATGTCATGTCCAACCAAAGGATATAATTCAGTGGATTCATTGTATACTGCTTGGTTATTATTAGTAGCTTACAATCTGCCAAATTTATATATACAACTGCAGTGGAGTTTTGAATCACTTCAGTCTATTAAAACAAAGTCTGTTGGCGGTCATAAATCGTATGAGACGATTATAGGATCAAAGGCCCTTGAAAAATAAATAAAATTAGTATGTTACAATGTTGTGTCAGTTATGTATGCTATCTAATTTACGTATTTAGTTTCACGTTGTTTCTGAGGTATCTCTCCAGAATGTTTATATCGTTTTGCTATCAGAAAATACTATATCTTGGAGCGATATTTTCCTCCTATTTTTAATGTAAAACTACCTTTATCTATTAAATCCCCAAATGTAGTAAACCCTGGGTAATATGATTTCTAACTCGCCACTAAATATACGAACATATCAGTAATGCTAGCAATAGAGCGGCTTGGTAGTTACTTTCAAGTTCAATGTATCAGATCATATTTAAGCCAGAATAATTAGCAATAATTTTAAAAATACTTAACCCTTGCCTTTTCGATCACACAACTGATGTAAATTAATTGCATGAAGGTCCTCTAAATTCACTCCTCTTGTCTACCACAAGCTTATATTCAATTGTATTGTATTAATACGAAATTTTCTACGTACGTTATTTCTAAATCTTAGGATATATGGTTTTAACTTTGAATACAAGCATTGCCACTCTACGAAGACGTAAAACGTTTATAAACGTTAAAAGAGACATACTTTTGACCATACACTCAAGATACAAAAATAAATTTTGAATTAATATTTAGGTCAGCGTCCAAACAGGTCTACAAATCAGTGTTCGAGTTGGCCATCATTTCGGGCATCAAACATTTCAGACGCAACATCAGAAAAACCTGGTGCGTCATCGTCCAGAAATTCAGCCATTGTAGCGGACTCAAAAACATTTTCGAGGATTTCGGATTCTAGTTCAGAAAATATGGTTAGAATAAACCTTTCAGAATTAGAAGGACACAAATCATCAGAATGTGCGATAAAACCAGCATCAAAAGAATCACTCGCAAAATGTCAAAACGAACAAACTTTGAGCAGCCAAACTGAGCCAACACATAGCGACCAGAGTTCAACTCAAGGCATCGCTTTTCGAACTAAAAAGGGAAATTATTTTTCTGCTCGTCCATCTGCTTCTATCAATCAAACGCGAAAACATCCAATAGTACCAGCTGGAGGAAGACGGGATTCAGATGCAAATATGCAGAATTATACTTCAGTCAGTCAAGTTGATGATCAAGAAAATGAATTCAGTCATGAACGATACAACAACTTTTCGAAGTCTGGAATTCGTGGTCGCGATAACCGACGTGGTACCGTCTCTAGTCATGAGGTATTTCATAATTCGTCTCGCGATTCCTATAAGTAAGTATTGTCATATCCACTTGTTTCATATTATTTACTTCATATAAATGTCATGTATCTTCTTCAGCGTCAACTCCTAACTCCTAGTTTTCTTTTATCCTGATCGCATAACGCATTTGGGGCTATGATAATCTTTTTACAATTACATTTTAATTACAATTATCTGTTTTAGATTTTCTTTCTTAAAGCAATCAAATTGTTAAATCAACAAAGATATGCGTATCGTCACTTTTATTTGGTACTTCCAGCTCATTTTGATGTAGGTAAAAGTGAATAATAGATTAATCATGTGTTTTCAAGGTTATATAAATGGTGATAATTCCAGTTCATAAGAAAGATCAAGAGATCATTTTAATGACCGTAAAAGGATTATTTTTACTAATATTGTCCTGAAAACTTCAAGATCCATAACTGGGGCTTTTGACCAACCAGCGTAAATCGATTTATAACCACCACATAGATTTCGGTGATTTTAGGGTTTATTTTCCTGATTGGTTTCATTTCGAACGTTCGTTAAAACTGTTGAACCAGTCTAGGGTTAGGTTCAGTCACAGCAAATGAAATTTGGTATTTAGAATCTTATGTTTCTTGTATATATACTATGTTACGTAATGTCTTGAACAAGAATAAAAGGTTTTACAACTTCTATACTTACGTTTGTTACCCCTCAGGAAGGAGCATAAGCCTCTTACCAGCACTCTCCATACAACCCTGTCCTGGGCAATCCTTTCCAGTTCTTTCCAGTTGCTGCTCATCCTTTTCATGTCTACTTCCGATTACCGACGTAGTGTGTTCTTCGGCCTTTCACTTCTCCGTTTCCCTTCAGGATTCCAAGATAGGGCTTGCCTTGTGATGCAGTTTGGTGATTTCCACAATGTATATCCTGTCAACTTTCAACGTCTTCAGCTGGAAGCTGGTTTGTTCTCTTCCACAGAAGACTGTTGTTGATGGTATCCGACCAACGGACATTCAGTATCTTACATAGGCAATTGTTTATAAATACTTCTACCTTTTTGATGATGGTTGTGGTAGTTCTCTAAGTTTCAGCTCCGTACAGTAGGACTGTCTTGACGTTCGTATTAAAGATTGACTTTGATATTGGTTGACAATTGTTTTGAGTTCCATATGTACTTCAGTTGTAGGAATGAGGCCCTTGCTTTTCCAATCCTCGCCTTTACTTCTGCATCAGATCCTCCTCGTCCGTGAAAGACTCCACATCTTCCAGAGCTTCTCCATCAAGTGTGATTGGGTTGGTGTTTTCCGTATTGTATTTGAGGATCTTGCTTTTTCCTTTGTGTATGTTGAGGCCTACTGATGCAGAGACTGTTGCTACACTAGTTGACCTTATCTGCATTTGTTTGTGTGTATAGGATAGAAGGGCCAGGTTATCTGCGAAGTCCAAATCTTCTAATTGGTTCTGAGCTGTCCCATTGTATTCCGTGCTTCCCCTCGGATGTGGAGGTTTTCATAATCCAATCGACTATCAAAAGGAAGAGAAACAGAGAAAGTAATCAGCTTTGTCTGACGTCGGTCCCCACTTGGAATGCATCTGTTAGCTGTCCTCCATGCAGCACGTCGCACTTTAGTCCGTCGTATAAATTCCGTATGATCTTGACGATTTTCTCAGGTACACCATAGTGTTGAAGTTTCTATAAGGTTCTCCTGTCCACAGTGTCAAACGCCTTCTCATAGCCAATGAAGTTGATGTATAGTGACGAGTCCTTATTTCAATAGCTATCTGATTTGTACTACCAGTCTTCTATGTTGTGTCGACATTCCTTGCACCTATCTTAATTGTTGCTCTGATTGTCAGATAAGACATCGGCTTCGTGAATCTTGAAGGATGTTGGTTTTCAGAACTCTCCTGACCGAAGATTCTCTGATTCCCGCAGTATTTAAATGGCTTAAATTTCTTTTTCCTGGTTAGTGTTATATATTTCTCATTGCGAAAATTTTTAAATTAGGCCTGTAATTATACGTTAAGGTTTGTTTTTTATCAATAATTCGGATATAAGCTTTCTCTACTGTAAATATCTTGATAGATTTGGATTCCATAAATAATCCTAAAATCAAAATACAAGTTATTTAAATAATCATTATTAATATCATAAATTATTGATTTGACCCTGGTTTAGTGAACTTGTCCTTCAGACATATATCACTATCTTCTTCATATTGCATATTTATCAAGCTTCCAGAATCCATTGTATTCGGGGGCTATGCTACTTTATTCGAAGCGTAAATAAGCCAACTGATTTTATGTGAAGAAATATTATACTACTAAAATATTGGCCATTTAGTACGGTGTCAAAGTCTTACTTACTAAGTTTTATGACAAAATTAGGGAAAATATTTGTTTGGATTGTGTTTTCAGGTTTCGCCATCAACGTTTGTTTCGTCAAAGAGGCTCTTGAAACCGCAAGCTAATTTTTTCAACATTTTCATGATTTTTCTAAGTGTAGTGAGCACTGATCTATAACTTTTATTAATTTACACTACACTTGATACTAGCTCAGTTCAAAACTTGGTTACAACTGCAGGTAAAATCGATTCACTTAAATCGGTCTATTCAATACAACGACGTGGTTTCTGATAAGTCTTCTAATTGAACTCTAGATTCGGTTCCTAAGTTCTTTTAGATCTACAAAGCGACTTGAGCACGAGAAAAGGTGCGAATTATGGAAGACACGTTTTACTCCAAAGGGTTTTTATAGTATTTTAGATGGCCTTGGGTTTCCGGAAAATCCTGCAACGCTGCTTAACATAGTAGTAGTATAGGTAATCACCCAATCAGGGACTCGACATGTGGTTTTCACTTTCCAGATGTTTCTGGCAAAATTTCCAGTGAATGCTGATTGAATAAAATGCTTCTTAGCGTTTTTTCTCGAGTTTTCTGTTTCTCCCCAACAGTTTACCATCGGAACGCAAGATAACTTTGATGTTTACTGAAACATGATCAAAATTCGTGTTGCTACTTGAAAATGAGCGGCAGCTTTGCATTACATTCAATTCAAGTTCAGGTTTGAGCTGCAGACTGATCAATCCAGATAGTACATTTATTACGATACGTGCGTAGTTTCCAGTCAAGTATCACAAATACGATTTTTATCTATAGGTTCAGTAGTTCGCTCTGCGTACACTTATTAAGAAATTCGATGTCATTGGCATTGCAGACATTCATAGTACATAGATGCTTTTCGTACACTAATGCATAAGCAGCTTTAATTGATAGGATCCTGAGTAATGGTTGTTTATGCGGTTCTCAGCCGAAAGTTTTTACCAGAATGGGATATCAGTGTGGCATCTTTTCTCTGTAACTCAAGGTTAAACTCAACATGGCCAGATTCTACTATAAAGCAACAATAATGTTGGTCTCGTAGAAGTCGAAACTACAGTTGATAATTATTTGTAAGTAATTAAAAGGCCACCCAGGATTTATTCATTATTTAAAATTTCGATCCCGTTATAAATACCTGTAAAGTTCCTTTGAGGAAGAAGCAACTTGCAATAAGTAATAGTAAAGAAGACTACTGATTCACACACATTGTAACTTCCAAATTGAATTTACGTCTGCACGATGTGATCACAAGTTATAAACTTGCTCTAGTTACTCGATAATAACCGACTCAGTAGTTGTATAGGGACTAGCGTCTGGTGATGCATTATGACTTACTGGGACCTAGAGATTCAGTCAGTCAGCTATAACCTAGGACCAGGCACATATATGCATCAGTGTAAGTTGCCGCACCTCATAAACATAATATGAATTCCGAATTCATAGAAGCAGTTACTTCAATGGTATAATTATATAAAAAATGTGTTTAAGGTTGTAGTACAGAAAGGAAGAATTAGTTAGTAGAAAGTAAGGGATGATGCAATTTTAGTTTCACAGTCGATGAAGATGCTGGCAATACTACTAAAAAATCTGTCATGAAATACTAGTAACTTACGAGTATCTTTTACCCTTAATGGCCACGTTTCGCAGCCGTAAAGTAAAACAACGAACTGCTCCTTAGTATGCTGGTCCCTTAATTGATAAACGGATATCTCGTCTTCGCCATAGGTGACGTAAGTTGGCGAAAGCCAAACAAGCTTTCTGAATCCGTGGAGAGATTTCGTCAGACACCAACCCATTGGGGCTGATCAGACTTCCAAGGTAAACGAAGCTGTCGATGTGTTCGACTACTTCACTCACTATCCTTAGTTCAGGTGTTGATGTAGGCCATTCCTAAAGAAACAACTTGCGTTTAGAGGGAGAGGAACGCATCGCAGACATGATAGCATTGTTGCTCAATGCTGCCAAAGGACTGTGCATTTTATCAGCGTCCTCACCAAACATGACTATATCATCTGCGTATTCTAAGTCGATAAGTGGACCTCCTGGTAGGAGATCGATGCCCGAGAATTTAGTCGATAAGAGCGTTATTTCCATCAGTAAATCTATGGAGAAAGTGGACAGCCTAGACGGACACCACTTGAGGTTGCGAAATCAGATGAAAGTTCGCCATAAGCTCTCACTCGATTAGTAGTGTTCGAGTAAAGAGCCTTCACAAGGTTTATGTACTTCTGAGGTATACCTTTTAATGACAGACACTGCCACAGAACCTCTAGGTCTACAGAGTCAAATGCTGCTTTTAAGTCAAAAAAGACCACCATTGTCGGACGCCGATAAGTATGTCTGTGTTCTAGAACCTGACGAATGGTGAATATGTAGGCGATACAGTCACGATCGTGTCTGAAGCCAGCTTGATTCTCTCGTGTTTGCAGTTCACGAGTCTTAGTTAGGCGTCTGATAATTATCGAGGCTAGTATTTTAGATACTACATTAGTCAAACTAATCACTCGATGGTTGTCACAAGATGATTTTGACCCTTTCTTATATATTGGGACGATAAGTGATTGTGACCAGTTAGATGGGATAACGTCTAACTCCCAGATTTTAGCTAAAATATTAGTCAACCTAATCGCTACAACTAGTCCACCATTCTTAAAGACCTCTGGGGCCAATCCATCTGGACCTGCTGCCCTTACTCGTTTCAGATTAACTATAGCCTTTTGAACTTCAGCTACAGTTGAGGGACCTACACTTCAATGTTCCATTCACACTATCTGAGAATGGAGGGTAGTTGTAGAGTAGCTGAAGGCCAGCTGAACTGTTCTCTAAAAAGTTCCTCCCATCGTTCTAAACGTCTGGACTGGGAGCAGATGAGTGTTGTTTTATTCCGAAATAGTCTGACTTACACTTGACTTATTAATTCCAGTTTATTTTATTAGTCTGTAGAGTTGTCTTGTGTTCCATATAGCCGCCGCCTTTTTCATCTCTTGCTTTCGTTACCCATCACTGCTCACGGTCGTTCCTTAGACTTTTGCTTAACCTAGATCTGATTTCTTTACGCTCTTCATCGTATTCAAAACCTGATGGGATGAGTTTACGAGAATCCATCAGTGCAATAGACCTTGAAGAAATCCATTGGTTCTTTGTAACCCTGTGGTTTAAATCACTAATAGATGTCACTGCTGTTTCCACAGCTGTGAATGATCGTCTTCTCCATCCGTGCTCATACAATCGTTTATTTATAGCACAGTTGCAGCAGACGATCACCTTCATCTGTTCACTGAGCCGGCACACTGAAATACTCACCTAAATGTCTTTTTGTGTGGTTTAAGCTACCTACATGGGCATTCAAGTCACCTGCTATGAGTACTATGTCTGAGCTTTTAGCTTTTTGAAGAAGTTCAGAAAGCTTTCTGCATAAGTTATCTTTCACTTCAGCCGGGTAGCAGTCAGTGGGGCGTAGGTAGCACCAAGTAAAAGGCAACGGTTTGTGTCCCTATCCTTCCGAGTTCTAACGGAGCCATCTAGCTGAACAACAAATAGGCGACTGTTAACGGGGATCCTCTGTAATAGTGCATGTTCTGCCCTCGTACTTGGTGCTATACCTACACCTGACAGTCCACGAGAACTCTCCATCGTGTCGCTAGATCGACGGAGGGTGTATTTCATCGCCTCTCCTTTTTAGCGAGGTGAGGTCAAGTGAATGTCCGCACTAGGATCTTGAGTGCGTGTCTCAGGAACACAACATACACCAATCGTACGAGATTGCAGGGTTTTAGCCGAGGAGGCTTGTTGGCCAATTTGACATGCGGTATGTACTTTGAAGGCTCCAATGTGTAGTTTGGAACAAGGTTTCAACAGCCCTGAAATAAGATTTCGCGCACTACAATTGTTGGCCATTGTGACACTTGAGGAAGAATTGTGGGGGTGGAAGTCGATGTAGGAAGAATAAAGGGAATTGAAGAGGGAGGTTGATTATGAATACATTGGTCTTGAGTGCTGTTAGAAGTATGAGAGCGGTTATCACTTCCCAGTCTCCCATACCGTGGAAGGTTTCTTCTAGATTTTCCCGAACAGGAAATCGGTTCAGAGATGATCTTAATGACCTGAGAGCGTGACCACAGTGCCCAAGGGACAACTGCTTTAGGTCGGTCACACGTGACCTGTTTGTGAGTAATTTTCTTGTTTGCTCCGTACATGTTGAGACCTTGCCGCCGGAGACGGATATCTGTGGGATAAGGCGAGGTGTGCATCTTTAGGGTCGACCTTTCATAATCCCACATTTCCTTGTAGGAAGAAATCTTCGCTGTCATGTTGGTTCTGAGGCAAACACCTTATTTCCATTACAGTACTGTGAAGTCAGCATTACAACTTCGGACCTTGGGTTTGCTGCTTTTAGTCTTACGGTTCTTCAACCGACCTGTCTGGCATGGTAGGACCTTAAGGAACGATTGTTCCAGCCAGTATAGCTCGAATCTCTCATCACGAGAGGCAAGCCTGGCCACCACGTCAAAGTAGGAACAACGGTCATGGACCTAAGGATTATGTAACTCAAAATTAAAATGTCGTTATATTTGGCTAAGCGTAATTGTCGATGCAGATATCAGTGTATTTTTCTGTTATGCTCTTTTAATGTGTAATAAACCCCTTAAATACAATAAATCTTTCTTCAGTGTTGCAGGAGTGAAGTGTCCATAAATAAATTTGATTCAGAGTATTGTTACAACTTCTGTCAATGACTCGCGAAAATATTCAACAGTCTTAAACCTATGATCTAATTATTCAAATAATGAATTTTTACATCAAAATGGTACCATCGTTCCCTTTATTAGTTCTTATTTGATAAGACGTATCACAGTGAGAGATAGTATAAAAAATTCTTTTAAATTACATTATCCTACCATCTAAAAGTGAACTCATTGACTATACATTGCGTCCAATGAGTTTTTTTCCAGGTTAATAAATTTAGTACTCATGTTTCTCTTTTTGGAGTAAAATTCTTATGTTTAACTCATTTTTGACTGGATATTTGTGTTTCATCTTTTACTGTCTTTGTTTAAACGGTTCAGCTATGGTTATATTGCCCCATAATACCCTGGTACAGCGAAGAGTGGAAAGAGTCCGCTCTCCCTCTCGAAATGATCTCACATGGCCGCGCGTATACATCCACTAACAGGGAAGACCTACCCACTGCCTTCTCGCGACAGGAGTGTTATTTACAAAATTGAGAGGACGAAAGGTGAATGTCCGATACCTTAACCGGGTTGGTGGACACGAAGGGTCCCTCCTACAATTTTCTTTTACTTCACAAAAATGAACGTAAATTTATCTGAAAGATAACTGTACCGACAAATATGTTACAACTCTAATTTGTTTGTGAAATTTCAATTCTTGATTTAATAGGGGATCTCAACAGAGCTCCAGAGACACTGTTAACCGTGGTTATGACTATCGAGGAGAAGGAGACTCCGTCAGAAGTGACTATTATTCTGACCAACAAAATTCAAATGCTCGGTTTTCTGGTGCTTCTCGAAACTCGTGTTTGTCAAGCAAAGGTCGAGTAAATTCAGTGAGCACTACCAGTTATCGCCGTCCTGGTAATTACGCTTCTCGTGGTCGTGGTTCTGGTTACTAAGTGGTAATTATTTTTGTTTGTACATATTAAGTTTTCTTACTAACTGCGTTTCTTAAAACATTTCGTGAGAGCTCTCACCCACTGTTTTAAGATACGTAATCATAATAATCACACAGTAACCAATGATTATGACATGAAATATACAACCTCTATTTGTTGAATATCTTCTATATAACAATCAACATGTTGAAGGTTACCACCAGCAAAAATCAAGACATTGATGTTTTTCAATTATTGATTTGCAGCGTATAAAATTCGATGTAACTCAAAGTTTTTGAGTAATGTAACCGCTTTGTTTGTCATTCTTTACGAGTATCTTCACAAATAATTGATTGTATTGAAATGTTCTGCAAATAAATATTAAAAACAACCTGTTATATTGATGAAACTCATTTATTCTACTTTTGCTTATATATCCTTTTTATCAAATAAAATTGTCTTTGTATTTTAATCCATTGCTGGGTGGTCTATTGAAATCACTTAACGAAGGATAGGATACATCAATTACATCCCATCCATAAATATGTTTGATTGAAAGATAAATGTAACTTTATGAGCCGCTTGTTATCATATAATCTATTCACCAATCAAGATACAATTTATTCAATGACGTTCAACCGGTCTGATCAGCCTAGCGTCCTATTGGTCCGTTGCTCGCCTAGCCCGTCCAGCTGAGTCCAGAATAACAACAACAGCCTTCGCTATGCGAATCATTTGTTTCAGACATACTGGGTTTATATACCAAACAAACAGACCGCAACGCACCATAAAATAGAAAATAACACTCGTACAAAATATAGCCAAAAGTGGTTATGAACGTGGGAGACAGTAATTAATAAACTGAGTATAACTTAGGAACAGTAAATCGTACAATAATAATCTATAGGTCAAAATAAAGCTCGTAATTCAATCTTCACTAGGATATAACAATAAATGTGTAAGGCAAATTCTGTATTTCAAATTAAGATATCAAAAATTAGTAAACAAAAATTATCAGACATGTACTAATTTCATAACTAGAATCTTAAAGGTTATTGAGCCGTATATATTGCAAATTATCAAGTTGAATCTTTTCTAAGACTATAACGCACTTGCGTTGTAAATATTAATTCTTTAATATATATGTAGTGCAAGCAAAAAACACATTATTACATCCTAACCCTCATCACAAATCCCATCTAAAAATATACATGGCTTAAAAAAATGATAACCTATACTTATTTTGCGGTTGTGCAAATAAAACCAAAAATTCCAGTTAATTTTTTGTATAATCGGTATACATGTATAGTTCAAAATTATTGATGTAAATTCAACGAACCTACAATTTTTAATTACCTAAACACTCGCGATACATAGTGGTGACATGCTCTGGAATTATTTTGCTCTTAAAAGTTGCACACGAATTTAACAACAACAAAGTTTAGAGCCCTGGAAATCAATAAAGAATGAATCTATTTTGTATGATTTGCCAGCTGAGAGGACTATTGGCTTCCCACATTAACTACAAGAGCAACTCATTCTTATGATTGGTAGACCATCTTGTCACTGGATGTAACTCTTCGAACAAATGAACACTGAACGAAAGACTTCGATTCACTGCCATCGGCTTGTCAAACTACTAAATGGCCGATATATATATATATATATATATATATATATATATATATATATATATCCATTAAGAATATATGTAATAATAGTCCATAAATAGTCCCTAGCAGTTACCATTCATTTATTCTTTCGGATGTAACAATTTCCGTAGAATTTTAATTGTTTCACAAAACCTACCGTCTAAAACCTGACCCCCACAAATCTCTCAAGAAATGATATCAGCCTCACTGTTCAAAGTACTTTGAGATAGCGTAATTAGTAACACAGTTTCTGATTTTCTCCTCAACTTGGAGAATAAATTCTTTTATTGGTCTGAAACGAGGGTTCCCATTGAGCATTTAGAACTATTTTTCTGAATTGCAGGATAGGGGAAAGTACTGAGGGCGTGAAGCAAATAGAATAAATGTTACACCATTGAGATCTCGTTTCCGTTGGGTGCGTGACACATTTGGATTATTTTATTAGCTGTAAGTGATTAATTGTTCCAATCTGATCAATAAAATTTCATTAAATGTTAAAATATTTAGATTTTGCATTTGAGATTTATTTCAATAAATGATCGTCTAGTTCGGTTTAGTCATTTACAACGATAGTGTTTAAGCAACTTTAGGTTCATGAATAATCGGTGAATACGATAAATCGTGTCGAGTTGATTTCCGTGACGAGTTAAAATATTCATAATCTATCTCTTTAATACCCTAACCTTATGAAATCCGTTATGAGTGGTACTGGTTGAGTTCCTACTAAAAGATATATTAATGAGTTTTAATAGTGAGACTCTGACCCAGCTAATTAACATGAAGATATCATATTAAGTAGATAGTACTTACCTATAATCAAAATCGCGCAGAAGTAATTTTTGTTATGTGTAGTGAATTTCAAATTTGATAGCCAGTATGTATAAATGGAATGATCGGAGATATTATCCGAATAGAAGTAGAATAAATAGATAACTGTTGCAACGATTAAATGCAAGCCGTGCTTAAAACTGCATTATTTGGCATTAATTTTCAATTTCTTGAATCTTGCCTTCATGATTTCCGTTTCTTATCTAGAATATTCATACAGACAACTTATTAATAAATAGCCATATGAACAACTTTTTGATTCTTCTACATTTAATACTCTACACCATTGATGGTGGGCTAAATAGAATCTTTCTTCTTTATAAGTCTGTCAGTCAGCTGCAACGTAGGACCAGGCACGTATATGCATCGGTCCAAGTTGCCATACCGCATTAGCACAACAAGATGAACACCGGATTCATAGGAAAAGTTAATTCAGTGGTGGTAATATATAGAAGAAAGAGTGTGTATAAGAAGATAGTAAAGGAAGAAAGAATTAGTTCCTAGACAGATATGAAGCGATTTTAATCTCTTAATTTAAGGAAGACAGAGAGTGTATACACCGACGCCATTGTGATCGATTCTGAGCCATGTCACCAAGAGTCTCCAACCATTGGTTACGATAGTCACGCGGACCCCAACCAGGCAGTCTGAATCTCCCAACATGGCTCAGACCAGAAGTTAGTGACTTCAAGCACTGATGCCACGTTTTGGTTTGGCCGCCCCTAACTTTCTTCCAATTATCCCCTGCACTAGTCAGCATTGCGCGTCGTGGTAATCGGTGTTCAGGCATACGCAACACGTGGCCCAACCATCTCAGTCGATGAAGATTCATAACCTCATCAACTGATTTACCATCATTCCCTAATACCCTGCGTCTAACCTCACTATTACTTACCCGGTGATCCCAGCAGATACCCGCAATATTTCTAAGGCACCTGTGGTCAAATACTAGTAACTTACGAATATCTTCCACTCTTAAAGGCCATGTTTCGCAGCCGTATAGAAGGACGGAACGAACTGCCGCGCAGTATACTCGTCCCTTAATTGATAGACGGATATCTCACCTTCGCCATAGATGACGTAAGTTGGCAAAGGCCAAGCGAGCTTTTCGAATCCGTGCTGAGATTTCGTCAGACACCAACCCGTTAGGGCTGATCAGACTTCCAAGATAAGTGAAGTTGTCAACGCGTTCGACTACTTCACCCCCTATCCTTAGTTCAGGTGTTGATGCAGACCAGTCCTGAAGCAACAACTTGCATTTAGAGGGAGAGAAGCGCATCCCAAACATTCTAGCATTGTTGCTCAGTGCTACCAAAAGACTCTGCATTTCATCAGCGTCTTCACCAAACAGGACTATGTCATCTGCGTATTCTAAGTCAATAAGTGCACCTCCTGGTAGGAGATCAATACCCGAGAATTTAGTCGATGAGAGCGTTATTTCCATCAGGATGTCTATGATGACCGTTGTTGCTACCTTGACGTGGTGGTCGGGCTTGCCTATCGTGATGAAGCAACTGAGCTATACTGGCTGGAACAACCGTTCCTCAAGGTCCTACCATGCCAGACAGGTCGGTTGAAGAGCGGTAAGACTAAAAGCAACAAAACCAAGGTCCGAAGGCGAAGTCGTACTGCTGACTGTACAGAGGTGTGACAGCAGTAAGGTGTTTCCTTCAGACAACCAGCATGACAGTGATGCTGCCTTCCCACAAGGAGGGGTGGGGTTAGAAAAGGTCGACCCTAAAAATGCACACCTCGCCTTATCCCACGGATATCCGTTTCGGCGGTAAGGTCTCAACAAGTACGGAGCTAACACACAAATTACTCATAAAAAGGTCGTGTGTGACCGACCTCAAGCAGCTGTCCCTTGGGCACTGCGGTCACGCTCTCAGGTCACTATGACCAACTCTAATCCAATTTCCTTTTCAGGTACCTCCAGAAGAACCTTTCCACGGTGTGGGCAACCGGGAAGTGATAACCGCCCTCATACCTCTAACAGCACTCAAGACCACTGTATTCATAGTCAACCTCCCTCTTTATAAATTAGACACTACTCTATTTCATAATAGTTTATTTCATCTGAAAAACTACCTATAAATACGATTGTACAGCTAGTAATATGAATCTTCGGAAAGTTTTCTTCGCTCCTCACTTTTTTAACGACTCAGTAGGTTTCTTTTACTGTTTTTTTCTGCCATCAACTCTAGGCTGTAGGGAGCAAAGGAATAATTTATAAAGGGTGGAACAAAATATATATTGAACATTTAATAGCAATGTCATTAAATCGTAAAATCAGTTTCTTCACTAAACAACAGTTCACAGGAAACTAACAGTGATTATGGATTAACAAATTTTTTTGATGAGTTTAGTTTTTTCAATAAAAATACTTAAGTATTACTGTCTATTTTATTAAACCCTGTGGAAATGTAGTCGTTAACGACGTAGTTTATTTTTTTTCCTTGATCGTAACAATTTCTGTTGATGGTAAGCATATGTTATCGTCACCAGACAGTTCGTTATCGAAATTGTTCAAGCAAATAATATCAGAATGATGATCGTCCTAATGACTTTCACATTTTATATAACACTATGTCAACTTTGCAGTTGATACAATTTATATGGTCGACAACTAGCATTGGTCAGAAACGTGTAATTATCTGGACAGACGGAATTAAACGTGATCATGAAGAATTTGTTAAGGTGTACCATAAATGGTTTAATGTAGAAATCTCGAATCATTTTTCGTAGTCTTTCTCCACCCTACACGATAATTCACACCAATTTTCGAACAAACATTAACTGCTAGACGAGCGGGATCTAATGTAACCAACCGTTCTAGGTCTTCAATAGTATCAATCGATAATAGGGTCTTACATCTCTCAAAAATTAAGAATGGGTAATTCATTTTTCTTTAAGATGTATTGATTTTTCAGGTTGGCATATCATGGACTACCGATTCGAGGTTTAAAGCAAAAGAAACGAGGAAACGCAGACACATATATGCAACTCTAAACACTGAATTAAAAGACATATAGGTCTTACACCAGCACAACTGTATGCCCACCTACACCGTCGACACTTATTTGTGCCTCCATAGCCTGGATTTGTAGCACAATAACTCCCTACGGTACGCAGCACCACCACTCATACGTTTGACGTAACTGGGATTGATTTTAGTTTCATATCCACGTCTCTATAATTAGTCGTATCCAACGCTTTCGCTCAAATTGGGAAGCGGCTGACTCATATAATACGTATCTTTTACATACACTACAGGAAGTTTACACGATTTGAAGTTAACGCTTCATTGTTCACTCCTCCCAACCTCGTTATTATCATATTTCTCACAGGTGTTTACTAAACTTAGGCTCTCTAAACCTCATTCATTTCAATCCACTTGTAGACATGACGTGGTCGTAGCTCTGTCTCAACTGTGGTTCCTTAGTCCCGTGTTATTCTACCGCTCATCCTTTTCATGCCATTTTAGTTTTAACTTATCAGCAACTTTTTCCTAGCAGCACTGCGAACACAAGCCATCTCAGGTACTCTCACATTCCCCACCCTATCGCGATTGTTCTACCCGACATGGTATTAATATGCGATTGAATTTAAGAATGAAATGGATACAGGCCAGGTAACAAATATAGATGTAACAATTAGTTAATCAAATAAATAAAATGGCTTTGGGATCATGGTTTTCCTGGTCATTCTGTCAAATTAGTTGGGCTCAATATGGAAGAAGACGTAAAAAATGATCTACGGCGAACACAAACTTAAAAAGAACACAATTTAATACAATATAGTAACTTAACTAGTACGACAACGTTGCATGTTGTGTGCAACAAGTATATTAGCTAACAGAATACATCTTAGATCGACCACATATATATTCGAATTTACCCCATATACAAGATCCTTACGCATCATAAAGGCGAATCACTAGGTGAGAAAATCACATATCTGAAAATATATTTGTGTCGTGTAATGTTTTTAAACATTTACCAACACCACACAAGAACATCGCTATCTACCATATACAAAATATTTATTTCTGGTGTCGTAGTGATTCGTTTTCGTGTTTGTTTCAGTGATTTAAAATGTCTCATGCTTACTGAATATGCGTTTGTGTGGCAGACATTGAATATTGGGTATCCATTGCATGCCCTAAAGACAAAACAGAATAAGTTAATACAAACCAACTGAAAAAAAAGTGAACCAAGAAGTGTAATAATAAACAGAACGTGTTTTCCATTTAGACAAAAACATTGTGAGGTACTACAATACGTCTTCATTTAACAAAGCTCTGACATCACTATGTACCAGAAAAACTTGTTTGATCGATGAAAAATAAAATGTTTATAAACTATATTTTTTACTTTAGGCAGATAAGTGTACTAGAAAATCAGTGGTAAATTATCACTGTTAACGATTGTCAATTGACAATAAGTGCTCTGAAGACCATAAATAAATGTAAATACTGTGATCATTATTTTTATTTATTGTTTATCTGTTCAATTTCCGAAGGACTAGACATCTTTTTGGGTGCATTTTTAATTATTTTGGAAAGCTCAGCGTTGTCGGACCTCCTTTTGATGTTGGTTGTTCAAGTAGATAATCGAAAAATTCGTGATAATTCAACTTCCCATCTCCATCTTGGTCGTATTTACGTATAAACGCTTGTAAATCCTTTGGACTAAAATAATATTTGTTGCCACTTTCATAAAGCACATCATATATTTCATGTGTAGTTATGTAACCATTTTTATCTTTGTCTAATTTCTTCAAAATATGATAACAATTAAAATACCTGAAATTTAATAAACAGAACTTTGTGTAATATACATGTTAATAAAACTTACGTCAGATATTGATTACAAGAAAAACGGATGTTCACTAAGATTAAAAGCTTCACACAGTAAAGATGTTTACTAAGACCTGATGAATTAAACTATTTTCACATCGAGCATATATTTTTATAATTTATAATGTGCTACATACGTTTGATAAAATAATTACTTTAAATGTATCATGATCTCTCTCATGCCTATTTCAGACAGTGAAGCTGATATAATCTTCAAATAGATGTTTTTTAAGCAGATCTGAGATAAGTAAAAGCTTATGAGAATGTGACTTCCTGTTATTTCACAATATATGACAGTCATTAAAATCCAAATGATTTTTACATAAAATGTGTATGCATAATGAAAGGTCACCTCCAGTAACCAACAACTCAAGCAACACAAATGTTTCACGGTAAATTCTTTGTCCAGATGTATAGACAGCATGTTGATAGTGGTTCTGAATCTTATATATATTTAATTGGCCGATAGATTTCAGCAGCTATGTGCTCATTAGGTCGTAATCACGAGTTGCTGCCTCTAACTTATGATAAAGACTCTTACTTCTGTCGTCTGACAACTAATCAGAAGAATAGCGTCATAAGTTACGTAATGTGGAACTCACCAAACATTTGCAATACATTTTCAAAACATCTGTTTAATTAAATAATCCCCCAGGTGTTCGAAATAGACGTAAGGGATAACATGAATGAAGTAGTAATAATAATAATAATAATATTTCGTTGTCAAATTTGAAAAATTACGGTATTTGTTTAAAGGTGACCCGCCATTTGACCTTTAGAAAACTACCTTTCTGATTAGTCGTTAAGGTAAAGGGATAGAGAGTAAACCGAACAGATTCCATACCCTTATAAATTCTATTCCCCCTTTTGATGCTGACCTTTATTAATATGCGCCTTTTTATGTGCACATTTATTAATACTTGCTTTTATGGATGTGTACCCTTATTAATTGTGCCCTTTTGCTAGCATCTTTTAGAATCGATATTGATGGTTTAAACACTGAGGCTTCTGATAAAAAAATTACCTTGCAATAAAATAATTACTATCCCCCTGTTTTGTTACTTCATTTCGATTTATGACTTAGCCAGAGGTAGAGTTTTTCTTGTAAATCATGGAGTTGATATAATGTTTCCTATTCTTTCAGTTTCGAGGGAAAGTTGACTGGAGATTTACTGAAATTTATCTTTTAAAATGTCGTGAGCTGTATGGCTCACTGTGATGATAGTAACCTGAAGATGTTCGTTAACTTCTTTTAAAAAATATATCAGGATTTTCTATGTTATCCATTAGTAAACATCTCTAATAAACCTTTTTCGATTAATTTTATACCAAACATTAAAACATTTGGGATACTGAAGTTGTTTAGTGGTAATAATATTAAATGTAAATTACATCCTAGCAACTGCGAAAATTTGATTTTCCATTAAAATACAGTGTTGATTAAAATCAATTTAATTAGGAAGGCATGAAAATATACTTTGAAGTTGCAGTCATGCTACATCACAATATAGTGCTGAGTTTAATAAGGGTATAAACCGTGTTCAGTACATTTTCTTAGGCGATACTCATAATTATTACTCTGATTTGATACCTGTTGTTGAACAAGTTTACTCTTGTAAAAACAGAGCGGAATAAATAATATCTGTGTTCTGATATTGCTAGGAGAGTGCAGTATATTGCACATAAAAAAGTATCCCACCCCTTCTATAACTACAGTTGGTATACCTCAAGGGCTGTTCTTTTCGATTTTATTCTTATGGATGATTTGCCACTTTCCATTAAAGCGCTTCTGTAAAATACGTGAACGGTCTTATTGGTTGTTTTGGAATATGACTCACTGAGGTAAAAAATAAACTCATCAAAAACTGTAAGACATTTCTAACTTTCAAGTTAATACCAGTTTGATATAGAAGGTAAATCGCTACTTAAATTGGCTTGATAATGGCATTCGTTTTAATAAGTACAAAGCTTTTTTCAAGAAACCTGGTTACTATTTATTGTTAGATAACTATTACTAACGGACAGTCCTTCGTTAGAATAAGATTACCCAAATTTCATAACGCATAAAATCTGATATTTATAAACGAGCCACTAACAAACTTCTATAATCCGGCAGAAGCTCGTTTATATGTTTAATGCGTGCTTAATTTAATCTCTGAAAGTATTAAATATATACAGGAGACACATAATATCAATTCTGAAGGAATTATTTATGAGATGTATCATTAAAACAGACATGAAAATATGTCTTTCCCTTAAAATCGGGTATAGGAGATCACACAAACGAGAGGTAAATTGTCTTCGTCAGTCTCAAACTTCAGACCTCACATCTGAATTTAATTAATTTGATAACAATAGTAATCACAATAAGAGTGAAAAAGTTTTCAAATTTCTAGTAAAACTATAAAAATTTAATTGAAATTTAGTTTCTTTACACACTAATTGACCCCTTTAACAAATAGTACAACTCACTTTTTATGTAGATGTGAAATTTTATGTATTCCTGTTTGATATTCTTCAAACGTTATCATTCCATCTCGATTTGAATCAAAAGTTCTGAGAAATCTCTACATATAATCAGTACCTCATATTTAGAAAATTCTTTTCATGCATACCGTAATGAAGCATTCATCGAATTCTTTTTTGGTCAAGTATTCTCTTAGTTCATCGCAATCGACAGCTCCAGACTTATCAACATCTATATCATAGAACATCTGGATCTCCGATGAAATAAAAGACCATACTTATTGTCAAACTATTAATTTACCTGGATTAATGCATCATCTGTAGTCATTTTTTATATTTATTTGAGATCGAGAATCTTCCTCTTGAGATGTGCTGAATTTTCTCGTAATCATAATTCCTACTTGTTTTTATAGGCTTTTTCTGTCAATCCTCTTAATCCGGGCGTTAAATTATCATATTACTTCAGACTGACTTGTACAATGTATTTTCTATCCCATATTTTTAAGAAATTTGAGCAGTCAATAAAATATACAGTGTCAGATACTGACCAGTAAGGCTGAGAATAATGTTATCTTTGTCATGAAAAATAATTTTTTATCAGGATTAATTAAGGCCTAAACTTCATGCCATATTGTTTAAAATGTCGATCATGCTATTTAGTACTGAAATAATCATTTTTATTTATCCACTACTGTTATAAGGTGCGAAATAATTGTTCTTATTTGGGAAATTAAGACTAATCGTGTAAACCTGGTTATTTGAGTAGTAAACTACTACAAATAACAAAAAAAGAATGTGAAAAAATGTGGTAGATCAAAAAGTTATAAAATTTAGTGTTCGCCAACTGATATAATGATCGAGTTGGTTGTAAACACTTTTCTAGTGTAATCTTGTTAGTTGCGTACAAGTGAGTTTGCTCAATTTTAGTTGGGTGTTTGGAGTTTTTCATATGAGAATCAATTTATTGATAAATATGGCTAAGTAGGTTTAACTGTTTAGAAGAATCGCCTATGTATATGTTAATTCGTTCAAATGCTTTTTCCAGTAATTCTAATCAATATCTAGTTCAAGTCACGTAGGTAAACCGAGTCTTATCTTTCCCTAAATTCATAAAGCTTACAATCCTAGTGCTGTTAAAGATCATCACTGATACAAGATATAACTAACTATACATGATAATTCATTCAGCCTTCTGTAAATGAAAGAATATCGTACTCCGCACACATTGAACAATTTTGTATTCAAGTCCTTCAAATGTCAAACTCTTAACTCTACCTTAAGTCACCGTAGTATATGTACTAATTGATAATTTCTTTGTACTTGATTCCGCGATTAATCGGAATTCCAAATAAAATACGTCCTGTTGTACTCAACTAGTTCAATCTCTCTAAAGTCTTACTACTCTGGGAATTCTTAGTTAGCGCATCTATTCAGTTACTTTCAATTATCATAGACGTGTAAATTATTTAAATAGTGTTGAGGTTACATGGCTCTGATACTGTTGATGATTCGCGTATAAAATTTGTGTTAGATGTCATCTATCTTTAACTTCGTGTTAATTCTGTTATCGTTTGGTTTTTCAATATTTTTTCAATACCTAGAAAAGCCTTTCGTCTAGATACGTGTTTTTAGCACTACTGATTATTGAATTTTAATGTTTTTGAATTCTTTCATGTTACCTGTAAGGTCAAAAATCCTCAAACTCTTCTGTAAGATTTTGACATTGATGCTGACCTCATTGGTTTTACTGAACTCACCTAGCTGAAGGCGCTCAACCACACATTCGCACCAGACCACTATTAGGTACACCGTTCTACACATCTCCACAACACCTAGCCAGCTTATATTAATCACTTCTCGATATATTGATAGTCTATCAAGTGCATCCTTGAACCTCTTCGCTTCTGACATCCTATTTGACTGGGTTGGCATACTTCAGTTATAAAGGTGTTATATGTAGGTTCATCGTCAAACTCCGAATACCTGTGGCATCTTTAGTGGTGAGCCCGAGGTGATCTGGAACATTAAGAAACAAACTATGAGTCTGTTTCTTGTTGGAACATCATGTCATTTTTCAACTCTTATCTTTACATATAGTAATATTGTTTTTAGGTACTCGAATATTTCTTTTTCTCGCTCATATATATATATATATATTTTATCTTTATTATGACAGAACAGACAACCAATCACCTGAAGATTAAAACTCCTATGCACCCCACCTTTCATCATATAACATTCTGGTTCGACGGTATAGAAGCTTGATTCTACTAGGAAGAAGCTGACTTCTACAAGCACGACCTGGTAGACCCGCAGTAGTGAAGAAACTACTGCGCGATTCTAACAAGTGCGTCACACCTAATAAATTTACTGATGGTGTTTCTCAACCTTACGACACTTCGAAGAGAGCTATTCTTAAACGCGGAAACCTAGTCCACCGACAAGAGCTAGACCAGCTCTTCTGAAATATAGAATCGCAACATGGTTGTAGCTACGTTTGCGAGAGGCCATAAGTCAACGGACCTTCAATAAAGGCCTTTTTAGATAGCTCTCATCTGAACTTCTCTAACAGGTACAAGCGATTCTCGTTTCACTTCAAAACAACCTTTATGGGGAACTGATTGCATCCGCCAGTCGGATTTTGTAAACTTCCAGAATTCCCAGCACCAAGGTTTGTTCTGTCAAATAAAGGCCTCAAAATCGGAAATATTCTCTAGGAAATGGCGAGCTAACAGAAGAATGTTCACCGACGACATACTGGTTGAAACTGTAATCCCAGCTGATGAAAAAGTAAGATTATCACTATCCCATAAGAGGGGTACAACGAGTGTCTGTAACGTTGTAGCTAATGCGAAACACAAAGCAGCAAATAAATCCTGGAACTGAAGTTCTGTAAGTCGTCAAATTCGGTTCCGACTCTGTTGGTGTTTTTAGACAAACTCTAACTGAACGCCCTCGGTCACGCATACGCACCAACTCACGAGTGGGTACGTCGTAAAAAGAATACCTTGCAACTACTAGCCACCTTAGATGCTTCGATTGCATAGATGTCACGGGCGAAAACGTTGTCAAACTGTGGATATCTGTGGCACCATCACACCCCTGCAATCAAACTTGTTACGCCGTGCACCTATGTCCTTTAGTTCGCAATGAGACAAACACATTTGACTTGATTAGACACCCTCGGAAAGTTGGGACATGTCATTTTGACGTTGTTCTTACGAGTTATTATTGTTACCAAGCTCCAGACCTCTCTTCTTATGACTATGGAATAGGGTATACTGGAGTCGGAAGATTCAACTTCATATGAACACGACAGTTTACAGTACACCAGTCCAGCACGAGAAGTAGGGACATTAAGAGACTCATTCATGGCAGAACTCATTGAGAGTGCCAAATGTCTCACCCAGACTGTCGTAAAAATGCAAACGGACTGTAGAAACAGGTGCAGATCTCAAGTGTCCAAACGGTCTGGACAGTTCTGTTGATATCACTGGAAGCCCGGCTTCAGATCAACCAGGTGCAGTCAGCCATGTACCTGGTCTAAGCAATATCTCAAGAATATGGGAAAAGAATAACCCCGATACAGGCCGGGGCAACCGAGATGTGCATCAACAGTCGCTTGTTTTATGTTAGAGACAGAAATTCAGTGCCATTTCTCAGAACGAGACGGAACTGGGTCGAGAAATGTCCCCAGTTAAACTTCAACCTGCCGACAAAACAAAAAACGCGACCTCTGAACACAAAACACTGGCGATAGGTTTAAGACTTGGAAGGCGATTCCCCTAGGTGTTCACCACAGCGGATCCAGGTCTGACTATAGTGGGAATGGACGTTTTAGGGAAATATGAATTTTTGGTCAACACTACGAAACGACTTTTGACACTCGGAGAAACCTTGAATTACACAAACGCTGATGAAGGTCATGTCGCTGCTGTAAATTTGGTGCTAAATTGTCGGTAATAACTCACGGAGCAACCAAATGTAATGTTTCATTCACCTGATAATTTTGCAACTGATCTACCGAGAGGTTAAATGGTTCAAATAGTCGTGGACGGAATAAAAGAGGCTCTCGCTCAATAAGCTTCCGCGTCTAGTAGCAGGGGATCACCAATACCTCCAGGCAAGAACCTAGGTATGTTGACGATAAAAGAGAAAAAAAGAAATTGGTAAATCATAGTAAGATACTATCCTTAGTCCTTAAGACTAGATCAAGTCGCTTCTTAAAGGACTCCTGGGAAGTTGCTTGGACTAGCTCAGCTGGCAGCGAATTCCAGCATCTGACAATTCTTAAGAAGCAGAAGTTGTGCTTGCAGTCCGTTCTACCATGTTGTATCTCTGATTTCCGGGTATTACCCCTTAGGTTAGTATTGGGATTAAGCTTAAGTAGGTGTTTAAGAGGATGTCCAGAAGTGTTAAGAATACTGTAAGCCATTAGAAGGTAACTTCTAAGACGCCTATACTCTAATGGGTAAAGGTCGAGTGATTGGAGGCGCTCTTCATAAAGTTTAAATTTAAGTCCTTGAACTGATTTCGTGGCTCGCCGTTGGATACGCTCCAGAGTGTCCTTATCCTTTTGGAGTGTAGGAGGGACTACTATTTTTCTGTGCTCTAAATGGAAACGAATGATACTATTGAAGATTATGTGGAGAGTTCTCCCGTTAAACTGAACAAAAATGCGCTTCAATGTTACCAGTGCAAGGTTTGCTCGAAAGGCATTTCTGTCACAGTTAGCGTAGGACTTTAAGTCGTAGGGCACCAGGACTCCTAATTCTTTTTCGACCCGGGATACTACTAGAGAGGAGTTTCCTAATTTGTAACTGTAGTTTGCGACATGTTGCAGATGGACCACTTCACACTTTGAAGTGTTAAAGGTAGGTCCGTTGTTGTCTGCCCAACTTTGAAGTCGAGTCAGATCCTCCTGAAGTGCCTGTATATCCCCTTAGTTGCGTATCTCTCTCCAACGTTTCACGTCATCAGCAAAATGTAATAAGTCTGACGATACCGTTTGAGGAAGATTATTTATATAAATCAACAAGACAAGAGGTCGTAGTGCAGTGAAGCAGAACACTGGTGAAGACAACGGAATTGTATTGAGCTCAAAATTACAGAGTCAATTGTAAAATAGAAAAACCATATACTAAATCGTTAATTTGCAAAATATCAATCCATCATATCAAACTGGTCTGTTCCTGTTGCAAATATCAATCAGTTGACTGACGTTCCATTGTACATGCGTTTTAATACAAATTTCATTGTTTTCCATTCCTTCGTTCTTGATCTTACCGCATCTTCTGCTGCCAGACATTACGTTTTAACCTCGCGTCA